GCTCACTGACCCACACACACAGTCTGCAGACACACACACACGATCACTGACCGACACACACTGTCTGTAGACACACACACACACGATCACTGACCGACACACACAGTCTGCAGACACACACACACACACACACACACACACACACGGACCGTGAAGCCAGACACACACTGCAGCAATAAACGCGCTGATACTTGACCACATTTCAATGTAAAAGTACCGTTGCTTGGCCTTGCATCATTTCCTTTTTTTTCTAGTAATTAACTTTATTTTATTTAAAATTACACACACACACACTGAGAAACACAAGCACCAATGCAGTGTTTGTGTGATTATAGGGCCATCACTTCCACCCAATTTATGAAATTTTCTGTCATGTTGCATCAGTTCTGGTCATTCTATTTTTTTTAGTATTTCATCCTCCCACTGTCTTAAATATGTGGAATGTAATGGTGTTTAATATATTTATTAGCATTTATTTAATTCTGTGAATTAAAATATGCCTACACATGAACCTAATTTAAAGTTTTGTCTTTTGAAGTAGGCCTAGTGCTCAAATTTATTTTTATTTTTAAATAACTTTACTTCGACGGTCCTGCCTATATGTTGTCCACAATATACAAGGCAGCTTCTATATTTTCTGAATATTTGTAATGTGTATTTGATTGATACAAAATGCATAGTTAAAGGGATAGTTCACCCAAAAATGAAAATTTGATGTTTATCTGCTTACCCCCAGGGCATCCAAGATGTAGGTGACTTTGTTTCTTCAGTAGAACACAAACTGAGATTTTTAAGTCCAACCGTTGCAGTCTATCAGTCGTATAATGCATGGCAACGGTAACAAAATCTATGAGAGTAAAAAAAACATGCACAGACAAATCCAAATTAAACCCTGCGGCTCGTGACGACACATTGATGTCCTAAGACACGAAACGATCGGTTTGTGCCAGAAACCAAACAGTATTTATATCATATTTTACCTCTAATACACCACTATGTCCAACTGTCTTTGGGCGCGCGCACGGCATCCGGTGCGTGAGGTGTGTACGCGCTCTGGCGTAGTTTACATTAAAGGGTGTGTTGATATCCAGCTGAAGAGCAATCAACCATAACTTCAGGCGAGCAGGCTCAGAAGTTGGGAATCCATGGAAAGCCACCACTCCCGAATGAGTTCGCACGAGAGAACATAATTTTTTAGTTTTAAGTCGGTTTGAATCCGGTTTTCAATCCGGATAAGCGCAAGTAAGTACCATTTTGATTAGCCGTCGTACCTACAATGACTGTGCACTGTGTAAACAATGAGTGACGTATACGCGCGAGAGATCGCTTCCGGCGCTTGCGTAAACTACGCCAGAGCGCGTACACACCTCACTAAAACTAAAAGATTACGTTCTCTTGCGCGAACTCATTCGGGAGTGGTGACTTCCAATGTATTCCTAACTTCTGAGCCTGCTCGTCTGAAGTTATGGTTGATTGCGCTTCGGCTGGATATCAACACACCCATTAACGTAAACTACGCCAGAGCGCGAACACACCTCACGCACCGGATGCCGTGTGCGCGCTCAAGTCAGTTGGACATAGTGGTGTATTAGAGGTAAAATATGATATAAATACTGTTCGGTGTCTTGCACAAACCGATCGTTTCGTGTCTTAGGACATCAATGTGTCGTCACGAGCGGCAGGGTTTAATTTGGATTTGTCTGTGCATGTTTTTTTTACTCTCATAGATTTTGTTACCATTGCCATGCATTATACGACTGATAGACTGCAACGGTTGGAGTTAAAAATCTCCGTTTGTGTTCTACTGAAGAAACAAAGTCACCTATGTCTTGGATGCCCTGGGGGTAAGCAGATAAACATAAAATTTTCATTTTTGGGTGAACTATTCCTTTAAACGTCTTATCTCGTCTTTTTGTCAGGCTGAGAGCAGTGACCTCTATTGCTCAGAAAACGTAACTGCAGTTCTCTTCATTCATCGCAACAGGAAATAACTCTTAACTAAATAATACAGTATTACCATTGTAATTATTATTACTGGTCAATTAGTTAATTAAACCTAACTTTAAAATGACTTTGTTGCATGATAGAAAAGAAAAAAAAACAAGCCTGGAGTTATTTTTCTTTGGCCTATTTTTATTGATACATGGCAGCACATTTACAGAAAAACTAGCTGTGAGTAAAAATGCCCCAAGAAAAGCAAAATACTTATATATGATTTTTGTAATAAATTGTCACAAATAGCTCATATATTTTATCTTCACATCCAAAAGAGACTTTCCAAACCTGACAACACATTATAGCAAACTGACACACAAAAGTATATTGCCGTAAGGCTCATATAATAGCTACTGTGCACATCGTTATGGCACATTAGGAATTATCATATATGAATAAGCAACAGAACCATAACAGTTTAAGTTCCTCTTTGTTGAAGGATTAAAGAAGTCCAACTGAATATGAAAAAGCTGTATTTTTTGTCTTGCAGTCGTTCTATCCGCCTAACTGTTTAAAGCAATAAATTGCCTGCTGCACAAAAATTAACCAGAAGCGTATATTGTATTAAACAAATAAAAAAATAATATTGCATATTATCTAGTCACATTTAAAGTGATAAATACATGTATATTTATTGGAACATATTTTAAAGTTTTTTTTAAAGGGTACTGTATATGTCAACCAATATAGAAATCAATTGATTTTAGAGGCATATTGTTTAGTATAGATTGTGTGACTGGGATGAGAAAGAAGAATGTGTCTCAGTTTACAAATAAATGAAACTATTTTTGATATGCAAAGCCTCATTTGCAATATTGAACTATGACTTTTATTATTTTTTTAAAGAAAAAGACTACCAAAGGACAGATATATCGCACTTGCACACTTTACCTATTGCATTTTATTTATTTATTTAATTTTTTTATAATTTTATAAATGTATTTTCAATCAAAACAGATGTTTAGATTTCTTAATTGAACTATAAATAATTTATAATTGGTCCCAAGAATCATACAAAATATCATTTTTAGGAGCAATGCTTGTTTTTACGGCTTGTATTTCCCAAAAGATTGATGAAATCGTTATAGGAAGACTAGTTTTGACCAGCCAGTTATTAAATCCCATAAAAATCCAGAGTGGAGAACCATGATATCCTTTTTTTCAATAGTGAAAGTACAACAGAAATGTACAACTGAATCACATTATGATGCATGACTCTCAACAATGTCTGTGCAGCCTAACCATGATGTTACAATAGGTTACACAGATTATTTTCTTTAAAAGATGACATTTTGTATGAAAAAGAGAAACAAAAATATATATGAAATATGTCGTAATTATGCATTTTAATTTAAATCTATAGGCACTGATTCAAATTTTTGGAAATTCTTGAGACAAAAATTTATATTTTCAACAAAAAAAAAGAGGTATGGTGAAAGAGTAAATATTCAAAAATAACAATTAAATATACAATAAAACACTTTTTCCAGTTCCCGTTCACAGTTCTTCCCCATGCAGAGATATACGAGAGCACCCTTCAAGCACAACTTCTCCAAAGAAGAGGATAAAATAGTCTCTACTAAAAAGTAGGCATAAAAAAAATCACCCAAGGTTCTGAGCAAAAAACCGGTCAAAAATTTGACATTGAATACCATAGCAGGCTCAAACGAGCCATTTCTGTGACATTACAGAGAACAGCTCCCTCATAATATATATATTCATCCTGATGCTAACAACAAGACAATCTGCCAACTAACTTCACATCAGCCTAATATTCTGAGCACACAAACTAGTTTGGCAGCTTTACGTCACGTCTGACGCAAGAACACATTCACGAGCTTTAAATATATAGCCCACGTAATGTTTCTCTACATTCAAAACAAACTCACTTCATAGCCGAATATACAAACCACCTGAGCCACAAAAATGGCCAATTAGGATCAAAGGTTAAACATGGTCTTCGATTTTGACATGGCTATTTATTGGCTATAACATTTGAGAATTGATAAAAAACGATTTCCGCTACATAAGATAAAGGGTTGCTTCTCCAGCATATTCAGCATTTGTATTTAATGTATGCCTTGTCGATAATACTGGTTGGACACTCCCTTCTGATTTGCCAATAAAACCAATCGGCCTTGTTACAGCGTACCAGACACTGGCAAATAAAATAACCCAACCCATCACAAGGACACAGAATGATATAAGCATAATCTATCAATATTTTAGAATCAGTAAAAGAATACATTTAATAATGACACACTTTTAGAGGTTTTATCATAAAATAATATGTCACACATATGCATGTATATAGGACACTCAGACATGCAAAACAAAGCAGACACCAACTAAATGAGATGGCAAGAAATGACTTATGTAAACCATAATCAAACATAAATATAAGATGCGATTTGTTTTTCAGATTACTGATAACTGCTTTTTTAAAGCAGGAACGAACATTTCTAATTGGTATAGTATGATACGGATTAGTCTTAAATCGAAGTCCAGAGAGATGAAAGACACTAGAATTATTTATACAGTAAACATGGTTTGAGATAGACATCTTGATGAAATGTCAACGAGTCACACTGAAAACATGTATAAAGTGCTAGGAGGAAAATGCCCAAACACATTTTTCACTTAGATATTTTCTTTCCCCATTTGACTGCATAAAATAGTTTTACAAAAGAAAAATAGCTTATAGATACTCAAGTGCACCGAGACAGAAAGGTATCAACGACTGATTACAAAAAGTGTTGAAAATAAAAAAATCTCACTGCAGACTAGCATTCTTGATTATGTTAAACAGTTCAAAATAGAAATCACAAAGTTATCCGAGGCTCACTGAGAAAGTGGGGTGTCTACAAATCGTGTTCAGGCATAACTGCAATCATCATCCCATGTGTCCTGATCTTCTCTTTCTGTCAAAATAAAAGAGAGCCTCAAGGCAGCGTTTCAGTTCCTCAGACTGCCTCTGGGGAATCTCTAGGTTTCCAGGTGCCTTAAATATCCTACTGTGTACTCAAGGAACTTCAATATATATCTCAAGCGCCTCAAAGCCTTTATTTATGATGGGGTTGCTGCGGAACTAATGACAGTCTTTATAGCAGGAACATATTTAAGTTCCTCAGACAAATGCTCTCACTTTGAGGTTCTCCAGAGGGTTCTGGAGAATTGCAGACCAAAACAGAAGCTGATTGACTTGTGATTCTGCCAGATCTTTCAACAGGCGACTCTACTTTCTCAGTGTCAATATATAGAGTGAATGGCCTACTCTGAAAGTCTTGCTATTTCTTTTAAGGGGTCTGAGCAAAATATCTCCACCATCATGTATTCTTCGAATATCCAAGATAGAGGATACCAAACTATCCAATATGTCTGCAAGAAATATCTACAGTCATATATGGAATGAATTGGGCAGCCACACCTTGAAGGCCCTAGTAGGAGTGGGAGATGTTATTGCCTTGCTCCTGAAGGCTCACCAGAAGGTCGTCAATCTTCTCCATGTTCTGAGAGGTTGTCAAGGTGGTCTGCACAGTTCCTGGGTCTGCTATAGACTGCCCAAGTAAAGACTGGATTTGCCCTTCGCTCTCTTGCTGACTCTGTCCAGACTGATTGATGGCAATGATTTGGTCAGACAGTGTAGATCCTTGGTTGTTCATCAGCTGATGGCACTCTGCAGGAAATAAATCGTTTATCAGATATCAGAATTCTATTGTATCGACTGAATATTTAGTGATATAAATTTTGGCCAAATCGTCCAGCCCTACGTTAAAATTAGTTAAGGCACTGAATTATGAGTCATACAAGCAAGTATGTTCAAGAATATTGACTAACCGTTCTGAATCTCAAAGAGGAACAGGTCTGGCTGCTGATTCTGATTGGGCTGGTTGAGGCTCATTGTGGTCTGAAAGAGTTGACCAGGCTGTTGTACTGGAGAGGAAGTGCTAGTCTGAATTCTGGTTACATCCCTTTGTGGTGCAAAAAGGGGTTCTTGAGAAGCCATACCCCCTTGCATGCTGGATTGGGCCATGAAGAGGTTTACAGACTGGGAAGGGGCTGTACCAGAACTTGGTGCCAACTGCATTGGTTGCTGGTCTTGGAAGATGGGCTTATTCGAGGACGGGTTGACCACCATAGTAGTCTGATCCTGAAATGTTATGGGTTCAGACGACTCCTGCTGCCTGACTGTAACCATGCCAGCCTGAGAGAAGGGAAGGGAAGTGTTCTGTTGTTCTGGAGAAGATAGGCTGTTGTTGTTCATTGATCCTATCTGGACTTGGCCACCGAATAGCAGGTTAGAGGTTTGCTCTTGTGTCACTGGGGAACTTAAGGATTCGAGGAGTAGACTAGCCTGCTGCTGCTGACCAGGGGGGAGTTTGCTTGGTGATTGGGAGATGCTCTGGAACATGGAGCCAGGTTGGGCTCGCTGTGGTGATTGTTGCAGCTCCATCGGAGTACCTTGCTGAATGGGGGACAGTTGGGGTGGAGTCTGAAATACAGATGGTGCCTCGAGAGAAGATGTCTGCATAGAAGTGAGAAAGGCCAGTTGCTGTGGCTGGCCGGCATTAACAGCATGTTGACCTGGTATGGCATTTTGGGAAAGAAACATATTGGTCACAGAGGGCTGAGCTTCCGCTGACATGTTGGACCCACCGAGAACCGTCAGATTGCTTTGGAAAAGCGATGCTTGGACCTGATCCTCATTGGGTGAGGTCTTCTGTGTGTGGAAAAGAGCCTCCTGTGGGCTTTGGGTTTCGGTCATGGCTGTAGGGTTGTGAAACAGAGAAGGCGAGGAATGACTGGGCTGCTGCTGAAGAAAGCCAGTTGCTTGTTGAAACAAGGATGCTTGTTGCTGCTGCTGCTGCTGTTGTTGTGATGGGGTCTGCTGGAAGAGAGAGCTTCCATTCTGAACCATACCTTGGGAGGAGCTCTGCTGCTCTGAACTACAATGGATTTGAACCTGGGGCTGAAAGAGCTGATGTTGAAGGTTCTCCAAAGCTTTCTGCTGCTGGTGTTGCTGCTGCTGCAACTGGATTTGTTGCTCTTGTTGCTGGATGTGCTGCTGCTGTTGCTGGATTTGCTGTTGCTGCTGCTGGATTTGCTGCTGCTGTTGTTGGATTTGCAGCTGCTGCTGTTGAAGTTGATGGTGTCTTTGTTTTGACAGTGAATTCTCACTCTGGAGATGGATGTTGCAGAATCCCTTCGCTTGCAGCTGCCTTATTGCCTGCTCCAGTTGTGCCACCTCATCTGGAGGTAGAAGTGAGAGCTGCTGCTGCGAGTTGTCATCAATCTGGGAGAGCCCCACCACTGAACCGCCACTGTTGCCTGTCCTCTCCTGTTCAAGACTCTCTCTGTGTTCCAAGAGGAATGGCTGAACTCCTTGCTGGAGGAGAGATTTATTAGGCACATGGAAAGAGCCACTGGGTGCAAGACTCTGTTCCTGGATGGTGCTGAATGGTTCTTTGCTGGAAAAGACAGAGCTCTGAGATTGATCCTGTTCTCTTGTTTGGTGTGCCAGCGGATTGGAAAATGTGCAGTTATTGGTGGAGATCTCTGCACTCATCTCTAAGGCTTGCTGGGCTGAACTGATGACTTCAGAGGTCTGTTGGGTTGCAAACAAGATGACAAAGGCATTTATCAAAATATACGGAAATAGGGATTGATTTATTGTGGTGGTTTCTGTCTCATGATTTATACAAACCTTGAAGGCCGAGGGGTTACTGGAGACCTCCATTGGAGTGACCTCTTCTCGTTTAACAAGAGGCAAAACTGGCGTCATCAAGGCAGTATCTATTATTATGTGAAACAAAAGACGGAGCCAGTGACACTTACATAACCATGTCTGTCATTCAGCAATATTACGTAATGCTAATAGACACATAGATGTTTGCTCACCTTTAATTTGTTCAAAACAACAAGGTGTCACTGGAGGCAAGACTTCCTTTTTCACAGAAGAATCGACAACTGTAAAAAAGCATGTTTCTAGATCAGTGATTTTTATGAATGGTTCCCAATCCTGTTCCTTGAGGCACACCCACAGTATACATTTTCAAACTCTACCAAAAGAAACACACCCGATTAAACTCTTCATTAGTAGAGACTCCAAGTCCTGATATGGATGGGTTAGATAAGGGAGACACCCAAAATGTGTACTGTTGGTGTGCCTCCAGGAACGGGGTTGGGAAACACTTTTTTAGCAAACCTGTTGTGATTAAGAGTCATGTTTACGGTGGAGATTAAACTGACCTGGCTCTGGAGTGTATGTAAATGGTTGAACATCATGGGAACGTCCAGCATTCGTAACAACATAGACACCAACAGCTACAGGAGATGTGATAGCTGGATTTTGATATGGAGGGACTTTGACAATAAGGTGATTCTAAAAGGTGAAAAAGTCAAAGATTGAAAAAAATGCACAGTTTATTTATTTATTTACTTATTGCAGTTGAATCTGACTATTTTTCTCATAACATCATTAATGAGCAACAATTACTGGTGTCTGGTATATACACAATTTAATGGTTTGTGTACTTTATGTGACTTCAAAGAAGATTATCAGACAATTTGATATGATTCACTCAAATCACCTGCAAATCTAATGGGATGTCAGACCATGCATTTTGTTGCAATTTCAATACTAACCAGATTTATTTACTCCTCTATTTTTTTAGCCCTTTTTACATACATTTGTGTAATAAGTATAATAGAGCTTGCTGTGGCAGCACTTAATCTATTAAAAAACACTGAAAATTACAAAGATCACTGCAGTGTCATTGCAAAAGCAGATATATTTAAAACACTTAATCAAAAAGAACTAAAACCATATTGTGTACTGTTTGTTTATGTAGGTCATTAATCTCCCACTCTTTCCATATTCATGTCAGGCAACAATTGGGGACACCAAAGTCTGTGACCTGCAAAGTTGCCTCTATTTTTGCAGTGCTTGATCAGCCCACACAGTCAAATAATAGACGCAGCAGATGCTATGGCTTACCTGATGGAAAAACTCCATGTCAATGTCAGCCTCTGCCTTCCAGGATATATCATCTGCTGCAGTCAAAGAGGCAAAGGTTAAACAGTGCAGGAAAATCTGCACAGAACAGGGCATGACACTTTTTAACATGTAGAGATACCTGAAGCATTCTCCTGAAATATGACCTTGGTTCCTTTGAGAAAGTTTTTTCCAATAATAAAGACTTCACTCCCCCCTTTAACCGAACAGCTGTGCAAGCTCTTCTTGAGAATCTCAGGTACTCCTGCAGGCTGGGCTATAAAAACAGAACCAATCGGAGAAAGAGAGAAAGCGACCATTAGGATACACAGCAAGGTAACAACGTTTCTGTGCAGCAGACTATGACTAAATACTTAGTTTCCGCACATCTGACATTATGTGCAGGTCAACAAAGCCATATAGCCAAATCAGCTAGTAAAAAACCTGGTTGTTTTTGCTTTGTATCCATACATGGAAACCATGAAGGAACATAGGTATTATGCTGGTAATGCATAGTAAGTAGGCAAGCTTCACATTTTTGCTATTTAATGCTGTGGTACAATTGCTTCATTTATTATAAGCGAATTAGTATAAACTTGTCAATCGATTAAAAATCTGAATCAAAAATGAATTACATGATAATCAAATTAATTGCAATTAATCGTGAACATACACATTGTTGTATTATGTCTGCATTATTTACTTTAGTATTAACTGTTCTTCAGCATTTTACACCAAGAGTTTCACATCTTTAAGACTAATGGATCCTCTGCAGTGAATGGGTGCCATCAGAATGAGTGTCCAAAAAGCTGACAAAGACATAACAACAATAATCCACGGTACTCCAATTCATTATTTAACGTCTTGTGACGTGAAAAGCTGCATGTTTGTAAGAAGCAAATTAATCATTATGAATTTTTTTTAAATTTAAACCATAATTTTGGGCCAAAATATCCATATATATACATCCAAACATCCAACCCCCACCAAAATCTGCCAACATATTGGTTTAGAACAGTTGTCACTTGTAAACAGTGCTTGATCTGTGCATATTTCTCTCCTGATTCAGACGAAACAACTTATATTATGGCAATATTATGGATAGAGGACTCATACTTTAGCCGCAAAAAAACGGTTTGAAGCTAAAAATGTGTTAATGTTTTGTTTCTTACAAACACGCAGCTTTTTACTTCACAAGACGTTAACTGTTGAACCGGAGTGGTGTGGATTACTTGTGGATTATTGTGATGTTTTAATCAGCCATTTGGACTCTCATTCTGACGGCACCCATTCACTGCAGAGGATACATAACAACAATAATCCATGGTACTCCAATTCATCATTTAACGTCTTGTGACGTGAAAAGCTGCATGTTTGTAAGAAGCAAAATAATCATTATGAAATTTTTTTAAATTGAAACCATAATTTTGGGCCAAAATATCCATAACCCCTCATCCAGTGAAAACATCCAACCCCCACCAAAATCTGCCAACATATTGGTTTAGAACAGTTGTCACTTGTAAACAGTGCTTGATCTGTGCATATTTCTCTCCTGATTCAGACGAAACAACTTATATTATGGCAATATTATGGATAGAGGACTCATACTTTAGCCGCAAAAAAACGGTTTGAAGCTAAAAATGTGTTAATGTTTTGTTTCTTACAAACACGCAGCTTTTTACTTCACAAGACGTTAACTGTTGAACCGGAGTGGTGTGGATTACTTGTGGATTATTGTGATGTTTTAATCAGCCATTTGGACTCTCATTCTGACGGCACCCATTCACTGCAGAGGATCCATTGCTCAGCAAGTGATGTAATGCTACATTTCTCCAAATCTGTTCAGATGAAGAAACAAACTCATCAACATTTAGGCTTGGATGGCCTGAGAGGATGAGTACATTTTCAAAAAAAGTTCATTTTCGGATTAACTATTCCTTTAGAATCACACAATAACACAATCAAAATAATTTCCTGTGATAATCAGCAGAATGCTACAGATGGTGTCAGCAGAACTTAAATTACAATCAACCTGAAATACTCCTCTACTTGCTGGTGACACTAAAATTTAATTTCAAACCAAAGTAGTGCAATTCACCACACACCTAGTAGCTCTCTTCAGTAGGCACCGGATGCTCTGCCTTGGATTCATTCTTTTTTTTGGCTCTATGGCCTTAATAATATAAACATTCATTAAACCCCCTTCTAATCCCTACCTCTCCTATGTGATGAGAGCACCAGCTGGGCTCGCCAGCAGGGAGATGCTATGAATAACCCAAAGCCACTCACTGCACAGTATGGGAGACGAAGAGGTCTGTAACGTGAGCACAGAGCCATCCGGTCGTGGGATGTTGACTCGAAACACCAGTCTGGCACGGGTGCTCTTCTTCTTAGATCCAGCCACCCCAATACGGGCCTCCACATCAGCATTCCTGAGCTTTAGGATCCCCACGCAGTCAACACTGTACAGATACCCGAACGTCAGCTGGTCATTGTCAATATCAATACTTCCAACCACATTTGGTCACTACAGCCTCTGAATGCAAAGCTCGAAAGTCTGACGCAATTCTACGAAGCTGACATGTCTTTACATACGCCAGAGTCATATTGCTGCTGGGATCCAGAGGCACTTCGATGACAGTGGTGCCTTCGATGTCCACTTCCCTACAGGCGGTTGTGTTACGGCCTGTAACTCTGCAAGCCTGGTAGAAGCCATGGGGCTTTACACGTCCAGCATCATTGCCCACAAAAATCTGCAGGACCACTGACTCCTTCACACCCTCGAGCTGCGAGGATCAAGAAACTTGCGGTTAACAGAGTAACATGCATCCTTTTTCAATAGTGAAAAGTAAGAACCATAAGACTTGGCACTCAGTTTTTTCCTCCACATTGAAAGGTAAATGTGGAGGAAATATTTGAAATACATTTATTTCATTCGAAGTATACTACAAATACATCTACATGATATTATGTACTTAATAAAAATACCCTGCAGTTATACTTCTGGTATCCTAAACGGGTATACTTAAAGTCTGCTAAATTTGAACAGCTAATATTGTACTTTAAGGCACTTTTATTGTGCTAAGTGGAACTATTGCAAGTATAATTTAGGTGCACTTTAAATTTCTTGCTTATTGAAAGATCATACAATCATCATCAATAGTGACATTAAAACACATTTTAGGTTTAATATTAAGAAACGTGCATTGTGCACAAGTAGTACTCAAAATTAAATTATTATAATTTTTATATCAGTAAGTCTCGAGTGATATGCTAGTAAATATGTTAATAGATTTGAACTATACTTAGTATGAAATAAATGTATTTTAAATATATCACTTTTTTACTAGGGATGAATAGTACTCTTCTAAAACCTGCTGTAGGTTATTCTGGTTTAAATAACTGTGTGTTACTCACCTTGATAGTAGGGAAACCCTGCTGTGTACGGTCTTTCACAGACCCACGGCTGCCTTCAGTCAGGTAACGCGCTCTATGCTGAGTCTCAGGCTGCACCACAATCTTCAGTTCTTTCCCTTCACTTTTCTGAGGATACTGACGAGACAGTATCCCACCTTTAAGGCCAGAAGCTTGTGGTCCATCAGAGCTATGAAAGAAAGATGGTGAACATCAGTTAAAAGCTACTTTAATGGCGGTTTATGGACCTCTAATTTTTCCAGAAATACAATTTCTGTCACCATTAACTCTTCAAATAACGGTTTCAATTGAGGCTGGAAAATACTACATAATTTTTGCCCAAATTAGTTACCAAAAGTCAGAGCCAGATTGCAGATTTTCAGCCATCGGAGTTGAGAGATTTTGACAGAAAATTCCAGTTAATCCAGTCGAAGGAGCTCAAGCATATGATATTTTGAGCCCAATTTTATTTATTTATTTGTCATGTGCCTCCTAGCAATGTTTCTGCATGAGTTCGTTTCTGCATTTTAAAAGCCATGTCATATAATCCCGTTTTTACTTTCTATCTCGGAACATAAAGGCAAAACTTCCCTGATACCACATGTACATCTCAGAGACGTCTATTTGATGTGTGAACACTTGCACGAACCCAGATAACAGGGAACATATTGTTTTTTGTTTTTTTAATGTTTTTTAAACAACATTCATAGAAATAACATTTTCATAACTTAATGGGAGCGTTAGCAAAGTTATGAACAAACATTCTTTCAGTACGCTAATAGAATGTTCATTCAAAGTGATCTAGTTTTTAAAAAGGTTCTCAAAACATTAGCAGAAAACCTTTTGTGTATGGAACGTTTTTCTGAATCATTTTATTTGGACATCCTGTCCCACTTTATATTAAGCTTAAGGTGTAAGGGATGGGTCAACAGTGTAATTATACATGTAATTACAGAAATTAATTACAGATGTAATTACATGTAGGTATTTTTTTTTTAAATTTAAGTAAAATAAGTGCATTGTATCAAATGATTCATATAAATGTAAGTACATAGTAGTTAAGGCCACTTTCTTTTAGCATTTTTAAATGTTACTACTTTGTTTCAGATGGTTCTGAGAACATTCAAATTCCTAACATTCCTATAATTCTTGCAAAATTATAAAACGGAACATTCCCTTAATGTTGTCTCTAATGTTCAGTTTTTATGAATGCCATAAGGCCCAAAGTGTGCTGTGATACTAAATGACTCACCTTGCTTTGGAACAGGTCTTGCTGTCTGGGCCAAGTTGCGAGAGCACAAAGTGTGGACCTTTGGCACTATCTGCATCTTCAGCAGGGACCGGCTTTGGCCCGGGCTTCTGTCGCGGGGTGCACTTACGGGCCTTGCGGGGCACTTCAGTGTTGTCATTGTAGGAGCTGGAGCTCACAATGCTGAAGCTGGACACCGAGTTTTCCATCCAGATGCTGCTACTCTGCTCCGAGTCGAGAAGCAGCTCATCCTGGCAGGACATGTTGCTCTCATCGAACAGGTCCTCGGGTGGAGGCGAGATGTTGAGGACAGGCCGTTTGGAGGGTGTCATCTGGTGTTGCTGCTGGGTCTGCTGGCCACCTTTTTCTCGACCGGAAAGCTTGTTTTCTGCAGCCAGAACCTCGGCTTTTCTTCGACTGCTAACATCTCCCGGGGTGCTGCTTTCATGCACGGCGATCCGCTCTGAAGCGGAGGTCGAAGAGGTGGGGAAAGCCCTGTGAGGACTTCCCATGCCCATAGCAGAAGAGGTGGACGATGCATCTGCAGTGTGTACAATTAGACAGTGAATAAAGGCAATGACCAGGTATCATCATGAGCCAACAGTCCCAGTCAAGTCAAGACATTTCTCATGAATGCTTTTTATCTTTTCTTTCCAATAGTTCCTGTTTTTAATCTTTGACAGAGCATTATCTATCATAAGGGCAAATGACAAAAAGCAGTTGAAATGCTGTGGAAATGAATCAACAAACAACAGGAGCAAAATGATCATGCTGAATAACATCTGTGAAAAAAGAAAAACAAGCATTTCATGTAGAGTTACTGCAGAACGGGGCATGACATCACTCTCCAAGACATTACGCACAGCCATAATATCCTCTCATGTCTTGGGTTTTATTTTAAGCATACATTGGAAATCTACAGTAAATGAGCTCTTGCATATGACCCTCAAAAACTGTTACATGGCATATGCTTCAATATTTATTCCAGTTGAGGGTCTACATCTCTCAACCAGATGTGTCAAATGATGCAAGCAAATTCTTATACAAATTTGCACAAATGTTGATGGGAGTGAGCATAGCCACAGAAACAACATAAACCAGTGTCTGACCTATGAAGCAGAAAACTGCAGAGCATTTTGTATGCAGACACTCCCTGCTTCAGAGAGAAATTCCTGGAATGAAAATGAGACAACCAATGAGTAATAAAAGCTGACCATTAAAATATATTAAAATGAAGAAGGCTTTGTTCAATTGTATTTGTTTTTAGTGCATCTAATGGCCTTCTGTATTAATTTGCCTTGAAAATCAAGCTACACAACATCCACACCTCATTTAAACAAATGGATGAGGTAAAGCATTCACATACAGTAGTTTTAAAGAAGGTACATGAATCCTGTCTGTGCCTATATGTGCAATAATTTTGTTTGTTTCGCATAAATGTGCATATTAGAGAATAAAAAGAAATTGAAAAACAATTTATTAAAAGGATAGTTCAAAATTTTACTCATTGAGCTGTTAAATCAAAGTCCTCCGAAGAAACATGATCGCTTTATATAATGAACAGATATCATTTAGAATTCCATAAACAATTTAATGCTTTTTTTCATGTTTAGCAAGCACGTTTAGCTTCTATTTATTATATTTGATGAGCCTTTTGCATGTGCACGTGATAAATGTTTATATGTAAATAAAAGCCTAACTTAAATCTGTACATCAAAGTCTCTTTTGAAGACTTTGAAGATTAAACCGCTTGACTCATATGGATTACAAAATGATGGGCAAAAATGAGAGAATTTTTAAAGTATCCTCATTTGTGTTTCAAAACTGATGTTGTTGAATATCCACTTTTCATTTTTAGGTGAACTAACTCTTTCAACCTTATACAGTGACAATATTTCTTTAACAGTCATCTGTTGTACTGCAAGATGGCGAAATGGATGAAATGAAAGTGCTTTGAGGCCAAGCACCAAAAGGATCTGATTGCAAATCTGGGATGGTTCATGAGTTGCATCATGGGTGGTACCAACCAACATTTCAGTAATCTAGTTCTTCAACCACCAAACCACACAGCCAAACTCTGACAGCTGCCAAGACTTAACAAGATGAGGGCATCACAGAAACAAAAATAAAAAAGATAGCTTTTGTTTATCATATCTACCTGTGGAGCTTGGCTCCTTTGTTTGAAAAAAGCCTATGAACCAATACAATATGAATGATGTAATTTGAATGAGATATTGAGTTCACTGAATGACAATATCAATGGGGTGAGCTTGACACCCCTCCTTATAAAACAAACTCAAATGCTCTATGTTGCTATCTCAGAATGTGCTCTTTAAAAAAACTCATGATTTCCTTTTCATTAATGTGATATACTATAAAGCACTATATAATGTGACCTCACCATTTACCATGAAACCATGATGGCTCATATGCAAATCATAAGGATGCAGCCACACTAGTTCAGTTTCTACACTATACAGCTGGTCTAAAAACAAGACACGTAAACAGAATTGATTCAGATAACAACAACGATTCTAAAGCAACAGTAACAAAACCTTGTTAACACCAAGTGAAACAACACTCACACATTAATCAGAGAGAATGATTTGCATCCACCTTCAGCATTTATCCCCAAACATGAAACTGATAAGCTTTATTTATACTTTCCTTGCTATTTATGCCTTATCCCCATCCTTCATAAGATTTGTTGTGGTGTCTCACAACATACACAGTTTAAATTAATTAGTTTAATGGGATGGATCAAACTGCTGCATAAATGCGGCATGATAAACATGAGGACACCTGCATGCACAGGAAGTGTGGTCAAGCCGTACATAATTAAATCAGGAAGAAATCTTTCCATGTGCGAAATACTGGCTGACGTGACAATAATAGTAACCACAAACCACTGTCTATTCAATATTTTGAAATCGTCCTTCCTGAACCAAATCAACTGTGGGTGTGACATGTATGAGTTCCAACCGTTTGATTTGGAGTCAAAGGCATAAAATGCATTTTTCAGATCTTTATATTATATGTCTGGAGGTTAGCATATGAGACATATGCATCAAAAAAAATTCTAATATTCGTAAAACTGATTATTTCCCCATCCTTATTTTCATTCTCTGTCACATCAAGACGAGGGAAAAACGATTTGCCAGTTTGACATCTGATACAGTGACATTTGAGTCATCTGCTCCTATGTTTGTGCAGAATTGTTAATTATGAAATTATTAATTATTAATTGAAACCCTGGACTATAAAGCCAGAGTTTTTCCATTATGCATTATGTTGCAACCTCTTGGCAGGCGTGCAACAATTCAGACGCTGAAACACACAGCGTCTGTCTCTTCTGCCTATTTAAGGTGGCTAAAAGTGGCTGCAAATCAACTTTCTATGTACAGTGGGTCTGAAGTCCAGTGTAACATCAACTTTGATAGGAATCTGAGAATGTTAACATGGAAAAATGCAGGTTAGACAAACTCAACAGAGTCAAGAGATTCATATTCATTAGATGATAAACCGGAGTTTCCTGAACCAAATCAACTGTGGGTGTGACATGTATGAGTTCCAACCGTTTGATTTGGAGTCAAAGGCATAAAATGCATTTTTCAGATCTTTATATTATATGTCTGGAGGTTAGCATATGACAGGCCTCTCTCATCTTTTTAAGTGGGAGAACTTGCACAATTGGTGGCTGACTAAATACTTTTTTTCCCCACTGTATAGGTTAATGCAAATTGGAATTTTATACCCCCCCAAAACAAATTCCTACTGTAATTTTATACCAAACAGATTTTATACTAAACAGATTTATTTATATATTTATGTTTGTTTGTTTAAATTAATTTCAGGGTTTTTTGTTTGTTTTGCTTTTGCTTTTTCTGAGCAAAATTGGAAATTTGGGACTTGGAGGCACTAAGCCAATTATGTTCATTCACAAAGCTAGAACAATGCCGGAGGGCAAAATGGAATTTCATCAAGTAAGACTTGCAAAATTATTTTTACGTTTTTTATTATTATTATTATTATTATTAAAGGGGTCATATGATGCGATTTCAATTTTTCCTTTCTCTTTGGAGTGTTACAAGCTCTTGGTGCATAAAGAAGATCTGTAAAGTCGCAAAGACTAAAGTCTCAAATCCAAAGAGATATTCTTTATAAAAGTTGTTTTAGCAGCATCATATGACCCCTTTAATGTTGAGTATGTTAAATACCAAGTTAAAAAATGCTTTTGATTTAAATATAATTAAATATTGATATTTAATTACTATTTGCAAAAAAAAATTGCTACTCTGATGCCCCAATAAAAGTTTAGTTTTCTCTGAAATATATATTTTTCCCCCACATTATATTTTTTTTTCAGCAAGGCCCAACATTCACAAAGGAACAAAATTATGTTTAGACCACAAACCCAATCTATATGCAATCAGATATATTTTCCTGATTAAATAACAGAGTATTATTTTTATATTTACCATTAAAAAAGCTTTCGGTGCTTAAACGTCCCTATTTTCTGGTCCTATTGTGAACAATTCATTGCATTCGGTGCATGTTACTCCAAAAAAAAGAAATGTTAGTTGTCTGTTATCTTTTATCAAAAGCTTGCTCCACCTCTGATGTCACCACACCCTCCCCTCAAACCACCTGTCATATAAAGACCATTTTTCTTGAACCAAATTAATCAACCACGAAAAATGTGGGCAGGTGAATATGCATCCCGATGCAGGCCTTAGCTCCAGTCTTCAGCATCTGAGAGAAAAGATGGTTTAAAATATGAAAACAAAGCTTACCTGTGGCAAGAGCCGTCGGCGGCGGAGGTCCTGCCTCTCCACCACTTTTTTGACTCATAGCGGCTGCGTTCTGCTCTCTAGAAGACGGCAGCTGCAGCTCTTTCGGGAGAAGATCATATACTGATTCTAGAGGGAATCAGACAGAGAAATCTATTAAGTCTCAGAAACAGTAAAACACAGCAAGTCAAAATAGCCTTGCACAGATTTCTTTGTGGCAACTGATATATGCAGCGAATTTCCAATATCTCATTTCAAGTGGATTATCGCCAGGCAGGGGTGATAATCAGCACAACATTTATTTCAGTACTTTTCCATGACCATAAATGTCATCTACATCTGTCAGTCCAATTCCAGGTATACAATGTCTTTCTGAACCCCACACGGCCTGGCAATCGACCCGCCTGGCCATCAACATGGAAAAAGTCCTGACTGCTTATTTTACACCAATAGTAAGTGATAAATACCATTTTTGGCATGCCAGAGGCCTTAGTCACTGTTCTGTGATTGTAGTGGGTTATTTTAACAGAACAAGAACACAATGCCTTCAAACCTTGCTCGCTATTCTGATGAGTACAACTTTGAAAACAAGGCTGCTATAAGGGATTTGAGAAGTTGAGAGGTGATTTTCACTGATCCCAGCAGTTAGGCCATATCAAGCACAAAAAATTTATACAATAAATAAATAAATGAATATAACCGTCACCCATCTGTCCAGAGACAAGCTAGACACTAAAATGTTTATTCATTATTTTGTTGTATATTGAAATTGCAATTTGAACTGTAATGTGATAAACACTTAAACCTCTCATATTGGTGCTGCTGAAGCATCCAGGCATAAAGAATGCCACACTTTGATGCTAATAGAAATAGTTGCTTTTTAAGGCTGTTCACACTTGGCTTCGATTTTTACTAGAAACCAAATAAGACTGAACAGTGTTGACTTTGTAGCTGGACTTTAAATTAAACTCAAACATCTTTTTAGTTGTGATCGTGTCTCAGAAAATCCACACTGTTGTTTTTAGGAATGCAGTCTATTTGAATAATAATATTAATAAAATATGATTAAATTTTTATTGTATTTTAAAATAAAAAGTCATTTGACATTTTACATTGCAAGTTATAATGCTTCACTTTCAAGTGTTAAACCTTCAAGCTTTTATTTTGGCAGAAATCTGCAGAGGAGACCTTTCGTTTAATTGACAATAGGTTTACAAATTAACTGATAAAAGGTTGAAAACTTACGAGTAACACTTTATTTTAAGGACCAATTCTCACTATTAACTAGTTGTCCACTAGCATACATATTACCAGCATTTTGGCTGTTTATTAATACTTACAAAGCACACATTAATGCCTTATTCTGCATGACCATATTATCCTCATAAACTACCTTATTAACTATAATAAGCAGCAAATTTATTGAGGGAAAACTCTTAGATAACAGAGAATATTGTGTTCCCTAATCTAAAGAGTTATCAATTTAGGTCTACAAAAATAAGCAACATGCAGAGATGAGTTTTTGTGGATCAGAATTTACTGTGAACCGAGCCGTTCCGAGACACTGAAAACACCTGATCATGAGCTGCTTGTGTGTAAATGAACACTGAAACACGCAACGCATTAGACTAAGTTGCAGCCTTTTGCGATTTGATAATTGCAATTTGCATGATATTGCAATTTTAATTTAACTCACAAACCCCCAGGGGTTCACATTTTGGGAAACCCTGTTCTAGGTTTTGTCCACTTTTTTTTCCATCAGCTGAACGATTGGTATAAAGGCTTGACCTATTAAACATTAGTGGCATCAAATGGAATTGCAAAACGTAATGGCTTACAAACAGGTTTCCCAAACACAGACAAACAGGTAACCACACCCCCAAGTCACGCCATTGGCTGAACAAGGTTGACATGTTAAACCGCTCCAACAAAACCAGCATGTTTGTGGAACGCCACAGTGTTTACTATCTACATGTGATTTACTTATAGCAGCCTCTGCACATAGGAGGAAAAAAATGATTTTCCAGATCTGAGTATGTCTGGATATGTTCACACTTTTTCCATCTGCATGTATATTATAATACCTCGTGCTCAGAAGATGCCAAGCAGTCCTGTTCAAAATAAAGTGTGAAAAGCACTGGTGTGTTTAGAGGTCTCTTAAATTCGGAGAACAAATTCATCTCTTATACGGCCTGAAATAGATGCAAACATGGGTGCAGGTAAAGGCAAATTCTCAGTATGGCTGTGATGTGAACACAGTTTACAGAGGCGAGACGGGAACCAACAGACACTCTCTGTTTCTAACTCAAACAAGCCTAGGAAAGTGGATTTTAAAGGCCTTGAGACCAAAAACATCACAGTTCTCTTACGCAACCACCATTACTTTTTCCAAATTGTTTCCAATCATTGTCTGGAGGAAAACGCTAATGTACCTCGATTTTTCCCTTTTATAATTTACAGCATGTCTCAAAATGTATGGTATCAGACGGCAGCAACATGTTACTTTGACATGCACTTTTCATATACTGTAGGCTTATTTCAATTCTGGAGCTTGCATCTTTCTGGAGCTTCACCATGGAAATCCAATGGATTTAATAGTGAAGGTTTAGTGATATTTCACAGACCTGTCATGGCATGTTGCTTATGAAGAAGGACCAACTTGCAGATCAATAGCATTGTATGGAATTCGCCTCTGAATCCTCAAAACTCTTGCTCTTACTCGTATATTTAGTAACTGCATCTGGTACCAATTAACATCAATAGGTTTTTCTAATGCACAAAAACACATTAATCACTTATAAAACATGATAGTGCCCAAATCCTGCTCTTTCCCTGCTTAACCATTACCAATTTCTGTCTTAGGCTGGTCTGCACATGCATGAACATGTGCCGTGTGCACAGGGCCCATCAAGTAAACAGATTGCCAACCACATAGACAGAAAATATGCGCTAAGACTGCGGCTGCAGAATCAGTACCTGGACTGTTTCTAAGTGTTTCCACTCATTTTTAAGAGAGAAAACTCCTATTTTGCTGCACAGTTTCTTCCCACACAAACACAGTGGTTGCTGTTCATGTCCCAAAACAGTTTTTCTTTCACTAGGGAAAAGAAAAACAAAGAGCAATATCATTAACTCAGTAAACATTATGATTTCATTGCTTCTACAAAGCAATTTCTCACTTACCGGCTCCTTTCTTGTTCAGACTAGATCTGAAGCCAAAACACACCTGCACTGAATTAAAGGGATAGTTCACAGTCATTTACTCTTCCTTGTGTTGTTGTATGCTGCGTTCAAGTCCTCCTGGGACGTTCGTACTTACGAGTTGACAAGTCGTAATTACGACGTCAGGTGCGTTCAAGTCAGTTTAGTCGGCACAAGATGGCGGTGTGCCTTCTTTTAATAAATTACAAGAAAATACAACAGGGTCTGTTAACTCTGCTTATAGAAAATGAAGAGTGTGTTTTGCGTTTTTTAATTTATGAAGCCACTTTAATCTGTATCGCATAAAAACTTGTTATTAATTGTTATATTACAAAACTATCAATTTAAACAAACATTTACCATCAACTACAGACGCTGCATCCATCAATTGCGCCATGTTTCTCATTGACACGCCCCAAACTCGGACACTTGGGGCTTAAAGAACATTTTGAGTTTCCCACTCGTAATAACGACTTTGTGGTGGCGTTCATGTGTGTTCAACTCGTAAATACGATCTATCCGACATGACTTGAACTGGATTTAATAGTGAAGGTTTAGTGATATTTCACAGACCTGTCATGGCATGTTGCTTATGAAGAAGGACCAACTTGCAGATCAATAGCATTGTATGGAATTCGCCTCTGAATCCTCAAAACTCTTGCTCTTACTCGTATATTTAGTAACTGCATCTGGTACCAATTAACATCAATAGGTTTTTCTAATGCACAAAAACACATTAATCACTTATAAAACATGATAGTGCCCAAATCCTGCTCTTTCCCTGCTTAACCATTAGCAATTTCTGTCTTAGGCTGGTCTGCACATGCATGAACATGTGCCGTGTGCACAGGGCCCATCAAGTAAACAGATTGCCAACCACATAGACAGAAAATATGCGCTAAGACTGCGGCTGCAGAATCAGTACCTGGACTGTTTCTAAGTGTTTCCACTCATTTTTAAGAGAGAAAACTCCTATTTTGCTGCACAGTTTCTTCCCACACAAACACAGTGGTTGCTGTTCATGTCCCAAAACAGTTTTTCTTTCACTAGGGAAAAGAAAAACAAAGAGCAATATCATTAACTCAGTAAACATTATGATTTCATTGCTTCTACAAAGCAATTTCTCACTTACCGGCTCCTTTCTTGTTCAGACTAGATCTGAAGCCAAAACACACCTGCACTGAATTAAAGGGATAGTTCACAGTCATTTACTCTTCCTTGTGTTGTTGTATGCTGCGTTCAAGTCCTCCTGGGACGTTCGTACTTACGAGTTGACAAGTCGTAATTACGACGTCAGGTGCGTTCAAGTCAGTTTAGTCGGCACAAGATGGCGGTGTGCCTTCTTTTAATAAATTACAAGAAAATACAACAGGGTCTGTTAACTCTGCTTATAGAAAATGAAGAGTGTGTTTTGCGTTTTTTAATTTATGAAGCCACTTTAATCTGTATCGCATAAAAACTTGTTATTAATTGTTATATTACAAAACTATCAATTTAAACAAACATTTACCATCAACTACAGACGCTGCATCCATCAATTGCGCCATGTTTCTCATTGACACGCCCCAAACTCGGACACTTGGGGCTTAAAGAACATTTTGAGTTTCCCACTCGTAATAACGACTTTGTGGTGGCGTTCATGTGTGTTCAACTCGTAAATACGATCTATCCGACATAACTTGAATGCACCATTACATGCAGAAGATTTGCTTTTTGTCCATGTAACACAAAAAAAATAATAATTCAGCAGAATCTTCATACAATAAAAGCAATTTTCATACAATATTTGGGTGAAATATCACTGTAATTATAACAGTGATATTGTTATTAAATCTATAGTATTGATATATTATAATAATAATGTACCAACCATCAACCTTTTAATTATAAGTGCTAATAAATCAGCTGCTGTAAACATAAGAGAAGCT